GAAGCCCCCAGCGAGAGGCGGGAGGAATGTTCACGATCCTCCGTTAAAATTCGTCTTTTGTCTAGTAACGTCGCCGGCAGTCATTCCCTGTTATCCCTTCAGCCAGGGACTCGGGGCTGTTAGTAATCGAGCTTCCCAGACAGTTACGCATCCAGGAATCCGTGATGTCGCGAATGGTTTAACTTCTATGACTTCCCGGAGCGGTTAAGCACCTCGACTGACGACGCCCGCTGGCCGTCACGCCGAAGGGTCTGGCTCTTGGTAGGCGCTCAGGGTCCACGTGGTGCGTGGAAGGGAATTTTAAAAGTAATTAATGACGAATGTTCGCGCCAATGCAAACTTATATTTTTCTCAATTTGCTATACCTGTCACATCGAAGGGTCCGTCACTTGTCACCCCCCGGGAAGGAAGCCCAGAAGCTTTCAGGGACAGCATGGCGCGTAATAGTAGAGGCCCATTTTGTGGGAGGGAAGGTGCAAGTGGTTGGGGATTTTTTTTTGTTAATGCAGTCAATTAGTTTTCCAAAACTGTCACTATTGATTTAATATTGAACTAGACTAATGGAAATAGGTAAAATGAGTAAATATACTTGTGAAGTATTTAAAATAATAGTTTTGGAAACTGTAGGGGTTATTTCATGAACCCATGATGTCACGACCTACATATGTTGATAAAGGTACATTTTTAATGAACACGTGAAGAGAAAAGTATTCGATTTTATAAGATAAATAATACTAAAAATAAGGCATTTACAGAAAAATTAGTAGTGTTATTTCAATTTCAATTTTACACGAATATTTGTGTTTTATCAATAAAATGTTCATTATAATAGAGTACAGCATAATTAATATAATTTGGTAATAATTCATCTAACATTAACATTAAGTTGTTAATTAATATGTGTTCAAACTTTGGGATTAATAAAACCGAAAAGGCGATAGATGGATATTTTAGTAAATTTGGGTAATTATTGCAATTCATTGTTTCTATACCAACTAAAACTCTATCCATAAACAGTTCTCTACAACCATTTTTTTTCGGGGGAAATTCTAAGAGTCGAATTAAGCTACGCCTTGTGATTGATGATGTACCTGAATGTGCGCTCTCCAATAGAATATTACGATCTCTCTTTAGTACATCGCGATCTATCCTATCTCGATCCTCCCAAAGAGCCCTCATAGTTTCAGCACCAACTCCACCGAATTTGCCCACCCATGCTGCACATTCTTTAAGAATAGGCGGCACTACAAATAACCTGTTTCTTGTCCATTAATTTCATATCAATATTAGGACCCAATTACACACAATCTCTGAAGGCTTCACACCAGGAATCTCGTTCGGCAGTTTCAATCAGTCGATGACGAGAAAAAATTGTAGTCTTCGTAAAACAGGAAATTGTACAACAAGTCTTCGGTATTTTACACTTTATCTGTTAAATATTCAGTATTAATGACCGGAGCTAACATATTTCAAAACAAGTTTCAATTTTGATGCTCATAATCTATGAACATTTACTGTTATTTTTCAGTCAACTCAACAATGGCCATATTTATACAAAAGACATGCCCAGAACGTCTCTGTGTTAAACACGCCAACACGTTCAAAATTTCGGAATAGCAAGAAGTTTCAATCGACTCACCTAATTATCTATGGTTGAATATCCGCCCCCTGTCGAGTTTCAAATCTTGAGCCTCCGGGTCTACGCCGCCTCAACTGTGAAATGCGCAATGTAATTATTTACCCCTGTCAACAGATGTATTTACACGGCTAAGCGTATTTGGAGAAAGCTTCATGTTTCAGTAAAAATAAGGCAAACACATTAATCATTATTAAACACGATCTTAATCATTAAAGTTCACGATCCTGTACAATCCTGACAAGCTGGTGTGCAATGAAGCAAAGTGCACAGAATCGTTCTTTTCACTTCTGAAATTACCCCTTTTCACCTTTTTCCTTTACACACGTATTTTCAGGCAGGCAATACGCGTCTTTTTGGATCGACTAATCACGAGGATCTCGCAAGGTTCGTGACCCGGCGTCGAATCGATTGGAAGCGGCCGATCAAAGGCCTCTACTAGAGTTATCTTTGCCTCATCAACCGAACCTTCGTGAATCCGTCTCTCCTGGGGTTCAAATGGAAAGATCGCACGTCCACAGACTGTAGTGGGGCACTATATTTCTAGTAAAGACGCTAACACCCACAATTCAGATGGACTACACTGCAAATAATCGCCAATGTGCCGTTTAACTTTAAATGTGGTTGGTAACGTGTGAGCTGATGAGGGTCGGAGCAACATTGTGAAAATAATCCTTCGCAAAGTTTGTAAGCCAGTGGAAAAACATATTTATGTAAATGCACGAATTTCTCAATTTATATATACGATACTGTTGATCACTGTAATATGACTAACGTATACTATGATTGGCACAAGGGAACTCGTATGTACAGACCTTGACTCTCATTATTCTTAGAAACTTCCCAGCAGCAGTCTGATCCCTGTTAATCACTTGTTTATTCTTCTTCCACGTACCCTACTTCACCTACCATATCCACCTATTCTTAGTTAATGCGCATTTCATATAATGCTTTAATGGTACTTCGACTTTGTCTACCCCATTGTATATAACATGAACATTAACCCAGTAATTCTATAATTAGCAAGATTCGCACTTTTCCCCTTATACTCATAGCTTCTGGTGGTTTCATTAAACATATTGTAGTTACATTTATACGCTTAGTTAACATTTTTTGTTTGGGAAGAAAATTTTAAGACTTTTTTTTTCAGTTAAAATTTCAAAATTCAGTGAAACGCGGATGATTATTATGTTGCCCAAACCTCTTCCATCAGTCCAGAATGCGTCCACCTCGCCCCCTCCCCCTTCCACTACTCGTTACCGCACCCAGCGCCTCCAGGAATAGTCTTTGATACAGAGAGTAGCGCAAACATCTCCTCACCCGATAGCTCCACAGGCAGCATTCAGGAGTTTAAGGGTAATTATAAAAATTACACGCATTTTGCAGGTTTTTGATTTTATAAACACAGGTTTTGGATCGATTGGCAGTTTTCAAAGCAGAGAAGGAACTCTCCCGCCAACTGGGTTAAAACTGTCGGAAGGGCCAGCGCCCAGACGCACCCTCTTCTTCTGCTTGCGCAGGCCGCGCGGGCGCGCCCCGGGGTGTCGGCCGCCGCCGCCGCCGGTGCCGGCGCCGGCGCCCGAAGAGCTGGCGGAGGAGAGCGCGTCGAAGTCGGGCAGCGTGTGCTCGAGGGCGCCGTACGCGCGGAAGCAGCGCGTCACGTCGCGCAGCGCCGCCTCCACGCAGCGGCACGCGGCCTCGACGCGCGCCGCGCGCCCGCGCGCCTCCGCGCCCAGCGCCACCACGCCCGCCCACGGGCCCGCGCTCTGCTCCTCTGCGCACGCCCGCCACGCGCGCCGCATCGACCTTAGCGCCCGCTGCCGCCTTCCTCGGGGCGAGACGCGCCGGTTCATTACTGGAGATTGCGGGCGCGTTAGTTGCTAAGGTCAGTGTAGAGTGTGTTTTTTGCTCCAGACAGAAGTTCGTCCTGTTCGTCTTGTTCGTCTATTTCGTTTATTTCGTCTTTTTCGTCTTTTTCACCTTTTTCGTCTTTTTCCTCTTTTTTGTCTTGTTACTCATGTTCGTCATGTTCGTCTTGTTTTTGTTCGTCTCGTTCGTCTATTTCGACTCGTTCGACCCGTTCGTCTCGTTCGTCTGGTTCGTCTATTTCGTCTATATCGTTTTTCGTCTTTTTCTTCTATTTCGTCTCCGTATTTTACGCCTTTTCCGTCTTTTTGTCTTTTTCTTCTTTTTCGTATTTTTTGTCTTTTCCGACTTTTCCGTCTTTTTCGTTTATTTCGAGTTTTGTCTTGTTCGCCTTGTTCGTCTCGTTCGTCTTGTTCTTCTCGTTCGTCTCGTTCGCGTCGTTCGTCTCATTCACCTCGTTCGACGCGTTCGTCTCATTCGTCTATTTCGTATATTTTGTTTTTCGTCTTTTTCGTTTTGGTCGCATTGTTCGTCTTATTCGTCTTGTTCGTCTAAATCGTCCTGTTCGTCATGGTCGTCTTGTTTGTATTGTGCGTCTACTTCGTTTTTCGTCCTTCTCGTCTTTTCCGTCTTTTTCGTCTATTTCGTGTTTCGTCTATTTCGTTTTCCGCCTTTTTCGTCTTTTTCATCTTTTCGTTTTGGTCGTGTTGTTCGTCTTATTCGTCTTGTTCGTCCTCATCGTCTTGTTCGTCTTGTGTGTCTATTTCCTCTTTTTCGTCGCTGTCGACTTGTTCGTCTTGTTCGTCTCGTTCGTCTCATTAGTCTTGTTCGTGTATTTCGTGTTGTTTGTCTAATTCATGTTCGTCTTCGTTTTATTCGTCTTGTTCGTGCTATTCGTCTTGTTCGTGCTATTCGTCTTGTTCGTCCTGTTCATCTTGGTCGTCTTGGTCGTCTTGTTCATCTTGTTGCTCTATTTCGTCTATTTCGTTTTCGTCTTTTTCACCTTTTTCGTCTTTTCGTCTTTTTCATTTTGGTCGTCTTTTTCGTCTTATTCGTGTTGTTCGTCTGGCTCGTCTTGTTTGTATTGTGCGTCTTTGAACATCTCTATCGTCTTGTTTGTATTGTGCGTCTATTTCGTTTTTCGTCTTTTTTGTCTTGTTCCACTTGTTCGTCTATTTCATCAATTTCGTCTATTACGTCTTGTTCTGGTTCCTGTACTTGTTCGTAATGTTAGTCTGGTTCGTCTTTTTCTCCTTCGTATTTTACGTCTTTTTCGTCTCTTTCGCCTTCGTCTTTTTCCTCTTTTCCGTCTTTTTCGTGTTCTTCATCTTGTTCATCTATTTCGTCAATTTCGTTTTCTTCTTTTTCGTCTTTTTCATTTTGGTCGTTTTGTTCGCCTGGTTCGTCCTGTTCGACTTGATCGTCTTGTTCCTTGATCTTCCTTGTGCGTCCATTCGTCTATTTCGTTTTTCATCTTTTTCGTCTTTGTCGTCTTGTTCGTCTCGTTCGTCTATATCGTCTCGTTCATCTTGTTCGTCTTGTTCCACTTGTTCCTCTTTTTGTCTTGTTCATCTAATTTGTTTCGTTCGTCTCTTTCGTCTCATTCTTCTCGTTCATCTCGTTCGTCTCGACGTGATCGTCACTTTCGTCTCGTTCGACTTCGTCGTTTTCGTCTACTCGTTTTGTTTGACATGTTCGCCTTTTTCATCCTGTTCGGTCTGTTCGTCTTGTTCAACTTGTTCGTCTAGTTCGTTTATTTCAGCTATTTCGTTTTTCGTCATTTTTGTCTTGTTCGTCTGGTTTGTTATGTTCGTCTTGATCGAATTGTTCTTATTGTGCGTCTATTTCGCCTATTTCGTTTTACGTCTTTGTCGTCAAGTTTGTCTTGTTCGTCTATTTCTTCTATTTTGTCTCGTTTGTCTTGTTCCTCTTGTTCTTTTTCATCGTCTTGTTCGTCTGGTTAAACATGTTCGTCTTTGTCTCTTTCAAAATATTCGTCTTGTTCGTCGTGTTCTTGTTCGTATTAGTTGTCTCATTTGTTCGAATTCAATTTTTTTGCTAGGTTGTGCTTGTCCTTTTATCTTTATTTTCTCACTTCAGTATTTTCAATATTTATATTTTTCAAATTTTTATATTTTCGTGAATTTTTTACATTTGTCGATTTCTTTAATTTTTATAGCTTATTAAATTTTTATGTTTTTATTTTTTTTTATTTCAGTCTTTCCACCTATTAGTGTGTTCTAATGTCTCATCGTTTCGCCTATTGTCGTTCGTCTTTCCTTCATCATCTTCTTCTTTCGTCTTGAATCCTTCGTCTTTCGTATCTCGTCGCTTGTTTTTCGTACCTCACATTTCGTGTTTACACACTCGTGTCCCGTGATTTGTCTATCCTCTTTCGTGACGTGTTTCGTGTGTTATCCTCTTTTATTCGTCCTTCATCTCTTGTGTTTCATCGATCACTGTTCGACGTTCATTTGTCGTTCGCCGCTCGTCGTTCATCAAATATTGTAATATTTTTTCGATTTTCTCATTTTTCGAATTTTTTATATATTTCAAAATTTAAATATATTTTAATTTTTATATTTATCGATTATTATGTTTTTCCAGTTTTTATTTCTGTTTTTTCAGTTTTTCCACTTTTTAGTGTGTTCTAACGTCTCATCGTTCGCCTATTGTCGTTTGCCTGTCCTTAACCATCACTCGCCATCTTCTTTCGTCTTGACTCGTTCATCTTTCGTATTTCGTCGTTTGTCTTTCGTACCTCACCGTTCGTGTTTATACGCTCGTGTCTCGTCATTCGTTATTTCCCTTTCGTGTCGTGTTTCATGTGTTATCGTCTTTTATTCGTCCTTCTTTCGGGTTTCATCGATCTTTGATCGACGTTCATTTGTCGTACGTCGCACGTTGCTGTTCCTTCGTCGTTCGAAAAAATTTGTAACCTTTTAAAATTAATTTTTTTAATTTTAATATTTTTTAAATATTTATATTTTTCAATTTTTTATATTTTTTTTATTTTTAAATATTTTGAATTTTATTGTTTTTAAATATTTGTTATTTTAGTTTTTCCACTGTTAATGTGTTCCAATATTTCATCGTTTGCCTATTGTTGTTCGTCTGTACTTTATCATCTCTCGTCTTCATCTTTCATCTTGACTCTTTCAACTTTCGTATCTCGTCGCTCGTTTTTCGTACCTCACCGTTCGTGTTTACACACTCGTATCCCGTGATTTGTCTATCCTCTTTTGTGTCGTGTTTCGTGTGTTATCTTCTTTTATTCGTCCTTCATCTTTCGTGTTTCATCGATCGTGTTTCATCGATCATTGTTCGACGTTCGTTTGTCGTTCTTCGTTCGTCATTCGTCAAAAATTGTAATATTTTGAAATTTAATTTTTTTGAATTTCTTATTGTTCGAATTTTTGTTTTTATATTTAATGTATTCTGATTTTTTATATATTTCGAAATATAATTTTTTTGAATCAATATATTTTTCATATTTATTGATATTTATGTTTTTTAGTTTTTATATTTTTCGAATTTTTATGTTTTTTAATTTTTTTATTTCAGTTTTTCACTTTTTAGTGTGTTCTAATGTCTCATCGATCGCCTATTGTCGTTCGTCTGACCTTAATCATCTTTCGTCTTCCTCTTTCGTCTTGACTCTTTCGTCTTTCGTATTTCGTCGCTCGTCTTTCGTACCTCACCGTTCGTGTTTATACGCTCGTGTCTCGTCATTTGTCTTTCCCCTTTCGTGTCCTGTTTCGTGTGTTTTCGTCTTTTTTCGTCCTTCATCTTTCGTGATTCATCGATCATTGTTCGACGCTCATTTGTCGTACGTCGCGCGTCGCTGATCCTTCGTCGCTCGTCAAAAATGATTAATTTTTAAATTCAACTTTTTCCAATTTATTCGAATTTTTAATTTTTTAAATTTGAATATTTCTTTGATTTTGATATTTTTCGAATTTTTATGTTTTTTAATTTTCATTTTTTTAATATTAGTTTTTCCAGTTATTCCATTTTTTAGTGTCTTCCATTCATTCGTCGTTCGTCCATTGTCGTTCGTCTTTATTCCATCATCTCTCGTTTTCTTTTTTCGTCTTGACACCTTCATCTTTCGTCTCTCGTCGCTCGTCTTTCCTTCCCCACAGTTCGTGTTTCTACGCTAGTGTCCCGTCAATTGTGTTTCCCCTTTCGTGTCGTCTTTCATGTGTTCACGTCTTTTTTCTCCTTCAACTTTTGCGTTTCATCGATATTCGATCATCGTTCGTAAAAATTTGTAAAATTTTTAAATGTATGTTTTTCTTAATTTAAAATTTTTTGAAAGTACCATATTTTCGAAGATTTATATTTTTTGAGTCTCTATATTTATGGAAAATTAAATTTTTTAAATTTTTTATTTTTAAAATTGTTGAAATTTATATTTTAAATTTTTATGTTTTTTGAAATTTTATGTTTTTTAATTTTTTGTTATTTCAGTTTTATCACTTTTTAGTGTGTTCTAATGTATCATCGTTCGCCTATTGTAGTTCGTCTGCCCTTAATCATCTCTCGTCTTCTGTTTTCGTCTTGACTATTTCGTCTTTCGTATTTCGTCGCTCGTCTTTCGTATTACTTCGCTCGTCTTTCGAACCTCAACGTTCGTGTTTATACGCTCGTGTCTCGTCATTCGTCTTTTCCCTTTCGTGTCGTTTTTAGTGTGTTCCCGTCTTTTTATCGTCCTTCATTCGTCATTTCCTTTCGTCCTTGTTTCATCAATCTTTGTTTGACGTTCATTTGTTGTACGTATCTTACGCTCTTCGATCGTCGTTCGTCAAAATTTTTACATTTTTGAAATTATTTTTTTTTTGGAATTTTAATATTTATTGAATATTTATATTTTTCAAAGTTTTATATTTTTTGATATTTGATATTTTTCAAAGTTAATTTTTTTGAATTTATATACTTTGTGATTTTTTATATCTTTTGATTTTTATATATTTTAATTTTTTGA